TCCCACTTTTAGTCTTCTATTTGGTAAGCATCTCTTCTAGGTCTTCATGAAGGTAGATAATAAAAATATGACTAGTTCATGAATCTTGATAAAACTACCAAAAAACACAAACCCGTCCAAGCCAACACAGGTAGATTAATCAGAGGTGTTTGACCACTGTTATTAAATTAGCTAAGAATCTTTTTTTTTAAAGATTTTTAAAATTTATTTATTCATGAGAGACACAGAGAGAGGGGGGGGGAGAAGCAGGCTCCATGCAGGAATGCCTAATGGGGTACTCCATCCCTGGTCTCCAGGATCAGGCCCTGGGCCAAAGGCGGAGCTAAACCCCTGAGCCACCCAGGCTGCCCAAATTAGCTGAGAATCTAACCCACACAATCCATTGTATTATTTTCCACACCACATTTCCTGGACTCATTCAGAAGAATATCATGATTGTCTTTGTCACATGTCTCATTAAACCAAGAAATAGCTATCAACAGCTTCCTCCTCTTCTACCAATCTCCTTCACAGAAGAAAATGAATGAGTTTACTTTGGCATGCCTTGCTCCTGATGAACCCAAGCTGGCGCCTACTGCCATATAAAAAGATTCTGATTTGTTTAACAAAGCCAACCATTCACACTCCTTTGGCTCTCCCAGTGTCCAAAGGAAGGTGTTACTCCTACAGGAACAAGAGAACTTGGTGATTCACTCCCAGGAGAGAGGTTACTCCTCTTGACAGCTAATCACAACCTGGCAGCAGGAAAGTAAAGTAAATCAAACTGACATAACTTAGCTTCCTAGACTGCCCAATGCTGAAAAATTCAGTGAGAAGGGTAGCATCTCATGCCTATTGTTTCTCAGCACCCATACATAGTTCCCAGAACTTCATAACACAAGACCAACCTTTAAAGAACGTTCACCATCTAATCATCAGTTCTTAATGAGAAAAAGTTCACTATCAATTGTATAATATTCATTCCTAAGGGTGTTCCTAAAATACAGGTCTTTGTGGCATAGTTTTGATAATACTTTTCTCTGCCAGGAATTATTTTGGTCAATGGTATCCAATAAATACCTGAATTTGTTTCTTGCCTTACCTAAATCCTCTAGTTTTTGGGGTCGGGGGGGTGTTAAATTTCAATTTGGAAATAGATTTTATCTGTTCTGATTAAACAGGTAAATTTTGAAAACATAATTATAACAGATTTGAGTATTCCCTAGCTCTCAGCTCTCCTTCCAGGCAGACTTCACAATTCTATTAATTAGTTTGTACATGTACATATTGGAGGAATCTTTTTATTCAGGGCACTATTATACACTCCAATAAATTCCTAGAAACTCTGGGTTAAATTGGATCCTGTCCTTACCATCTGTACTTCCTAAAATGAAATCCAATACAAAATAATCTATTTAATGACAGTTTTGGGTGGGCGTGAAAAAGGAACAAAAATAAAGTTTGTGAGTAAAACTGAGTTACTGTTAGAAGGATTTCCAATATAAAATGGCATTTAACTAGCAGATCCTGGCATAAGATTTTTCAACTTCCAAATAAAATACCTAAGAAGAAAGAAGATAAATACCAAGATCAAAATTAAAAAAACTGATAATTAACCTATGGGGAGAAGCAAGGAGAGAACTCCACTAAGTGTAAGTCAGATTGAAACTGGAAAAGTTTAATCAATTGCTCCCTTCTATGTCACTGGGGAAAACAGCAGCACTCATGGGTCAGACAGAGGTCAGGTAGTAGTAAAGCCCTTTCTCTTGTCCTGAATGAAGAAATAAAAGATGGTAGCAATGAGAAACCTTACACACCCAAACTTCTTCCACATGGTTAGAGGAAACCAGCATCCTCTCTCCTAGTCCTCTCTTCTTTCACTTTTTAAAAACATTCAAATTCAATAAATAAATAAATTAATTAATTAATTAATTAAAAACATTCAAATTCCATGATACAAACTAGGCAGGAGCTGGGTAATACTGGAGGTGTCATAGTCTCCTATGACTGTAACACTGTAAACTCCTATGACTGTATCTCCTGTAAACACTGTAGAGACAACAAAATAGGAAGAGCTGTGAAAAATGGAAGTTCTGGCGATTGTAATCCTTCACAGAGCCCACCAGTCAGAGGGTGCTAGAGACTGTGGGAGCAGGAAAAGGTACCATCTCAGGCCAGGGGAATCTCACTGGATGAAAGCTTGCAAGAGGCTGGGAATGGGCTAGGAGTTGCCCAGCAGGTCATCTACAGATCTGAGAAGGGAACAGGCAAGCTGAAACCCAAGGGCAGCAGTGTGCTGGTGAATAGACTGCCTATCTCATGAAGGCCACCAACCCCCTCCTCCATTTTGTAAGTATTTGCCAATTTCCATGGTGGATCTCAGCTGTCAACCAAACTGCAAGCTAGGAAGAGAAGCACACAGCCCTGAGTTGGAATAAGATGGATCCATCACATTACATTCTCTGAAAGAGGAACCTGTGAGAAAAATGCTTCAGGGCATAGGAAGGAAAAGAATGGTAATAATAGCCAGCTGGACTGAGCGTAGATTATGCTAAGTATTTTATACTTTACAAGATACGTCTCATTTAATCTTCATAGTAACTCTATGCAGTAGGAGGTATTTTGTGAGATAAAGTAATATTTGCCCTGTTCAGGCAGCTATTAAGTGGCAGACTTGGTCTTTGGACTGCTGAACTGCAAAACCTATACACTTGAACCCTAAGCTAAGCACAAACTAAACCTGCAATAAATGTCCTGATTTCTTGACTCATTATGATAAAACCATTCATCTTCCTTATAAATTATTGTTGTTTTCACTTCTTTCTCTTTTGAATTAATGAGAGATTTATGTCCAGGACCTTTCAATTGCTCTCTCTTAATTTATGACAAGTGGCCTCTGAGGGGAGAATTTTTTGTGTGGATGAAATGGGGTGTGGAGATGCAGGTGTGGTGGGAAATATGCAGAGAACAAGCAAACAGGGTGCCAGAAGGCAACAGATAGAGAGTAGAGGCTGGAATGGATATTCCCAAACAAAAGCAGCCAGTTATCTATCAATATTTCAGTATTCTCTCCTAAATTCAGGCCAGACTTTTTCTTTGCTATCTGTCATCAGTGTTAACAGCCGTATGGATTAGTCATCCCACACTGTAGCTTCATGGTGGCTTGATGTGTACAATGACCTTTATCCCATAACAACTACCTCCTCCCATAGGCACACCTGGAGATCTTTGCACGTCTATGTGCTCCACCTCTGATATACTGAATTCTGGTAAATTGCTCACTGATCACAACCTTCTGCCTCTCCCACATCTTACTCCTTCACTTGGCCTTTGACCAGCCAAGTCCCCAGGGACCGCCTCCTGTGTTTCCCACTAACTTTCCTGGCCTTCTGTTTTCTCTCCTTTTTTAACTCAGCCTAGACCCCAGGTTGTATCAGCTCAATCATTGTGTCATCAATGATCTCAGCACCTTTGCCCCTTTGCCTCCCATCATCATATTCATCCATCCCTCTTCTCAGCCCTTGAATGCAAGTTACTAAGAACATCATGCAATAAAATGATCTAACCTCAGCTTATCCTTCCTCACAATGGCAAAGTCCGTCAGTAAACGCTTTGTACTATGTTTCTCCTATTCCTCACAGAAACTATTTCAAACTTTTACCACTTTCCTTGATTTTCTTGCCCTACAAACGACTCTTTAACCTCAGAAGAACTTGACTTCGTTTCCCATTTAGTAGGAACTTCAGTAGCTCCCTTTTGAAGACTCCACATTCCCGAGTCTGAAAACTCTAGGGAATTTCACAGCCAGGTCTGCCTTCCACACGCAGGAAGAGATGGTTCTGGAGCTTGATCAGAACCCACTTCTTTCTTGTTGGCACACATATTATTTACACTAAATCCCACTGCTGCCAGATCTCCTGATGATCCTGCAGGAGCTGTGTGGAATATTTAAGAGAGGGCAACTGCCCTCACATAGTAGTAATCTCTTCCAAGCCTTCTCACTCTTAGGTTCTCAAAGTTACAGACCTGGAGCAGAAAAGATAGAAAAATTTCCATAAGCTCAAATCTCTTTGAGTCAGCCTTGATCAAATCGAATTCCAGATTGTACCAGAGGTGCCATATGTTTCAATAATAGGAATCTTGGGCAGATGAGATGTTGACAGGGACATTTTAAGGTTTCAAAACTCTGAGCAGGCCATTGCAGCTTGATACAGAGATAAAGATCAAAGATGGACTCCATTAACCAATCAGATGTGTTGAGGACACTAAAAAATGTAAACATTAGCCAAATTGGGGTGAAGATCCCTCCTTGACAGATTATGTTTCTTATCATGATGAAATTGATTCCTGGCTAGTGTGCATTTAAGTTCAACAGTTACATTTTTATTTTTAACTATAATGGTTTATTGTTATATTACCCTTAATTATGAGACAATAATGCTTGTTTTACTTGTTTGTTTTGAGAAATTTTATTTCCCCATTGTTACAGGAAGTTCAATTTTAATTTCTTCATCAACATTGTAACTGATCTATTGTAATTAATTCAAACAAGCATAAAAGAATTGTCAGATCCTCTTGGAGTTAGGAAAAATAGACCTATTTTCTTCTTTCCATGGCTCTGGTTGTAAAATAAGCTGTGATTATACCAGAATATTTTATATCAGTATTTATGGTGAAAAAACATCAATCTACACAAAAGTAAAGTGAACAGGGGATCCCTGGGTGGCTCAGCGGTTTAGCACCTGCCTTCAGCCTGGGCATGATCCTAGAGTCCCGGATCAAGTCCCACATTGGGCTCCTTGCATGGAGTCTACTTCTCTCTCTCTGCCTGTGTCTCTGCCTCTCTCTCTCTCTCTCTCTCTTTCTCTCTCTCTCTCTCTGTCTCTTATGAATAAATAAATAAAATCTTTTTTAAAAAGTAAAGTGAACAATAAAATGAACTTTCATGTGCTCATCATCCAGATTCAGCAGATCATGAAGTTGTCACATTTGTAGAAATGCTTTTAAAAGCCAGTGCAAGAGAATAGTGATGGATTGATGGCAGGCCTTTCTCTGTGGGCCTCTCATACTATATCAATGCCAGAGGAGCATGCAGCCCTGAACCACTGCCCAGCCTCCTCACTGGTGGGCTGTGAGCACTGAAGGCGGCTATACAGGGGTAAAAAAAAATTTTTTAATTAAAAAATAGTAACCCAATACCTACATTTAGCTGTATATTTAGCAGTGCAAACTGGTCCTTTGAGCAGCTACCCTAAGGTCCAAGGACACTAGAGCTCTGTGTAGTGCCAGAGCTATTTTCTTCCCAGCACACACCTCAGGGTGGATATTTCTACTTCAGATTTAAGCTTTTCTTTATTTTTATGCTTCATTGGTTCTGTGGTTTGTTGTTGTTGTTTTTTTTAAAGACTTATTTATTTTTTTTAAGACAGAGAGAGATGGTGGGAGGTGGGGGGGATGGGGTTGGAGCAGAAGGAGAGAGAGTCCTAAGCAGGCTCTGGTGAGTGCAGAGCCTTAGCTAGAGGCAAGGCTTGATCTCCTGACCTCAGATCAGGACCTGAACCCAAATCAAGATTTGGAGGTTTATCCAGCTGCACTACCCCACCCCCGTTTGTGGGACTTTAAAAATTGTTACATAAATCGTACACACACATTCTATTTCATCAAACAGTACATGGGAGTTTTATATTTTTTTTCTTTTTTGAAAGATCTGTCTCTTCTTAACTCTGAGGTGACCACTGTTCATGTGAACTAGTTGATTTGAATCATTCACAGTTTATCTTCAAGGCCACACAATCACGTGCAAATATCCTGTGCTAGTTAATAAGCCCTTGTGTCTTAGCTCCAGCCTACTCCCTGTTTTGTGATGGTGGGATTGTAACGTTGCTCTCTGGCTTCCTGTTAGGAACCTAGTTGTTTTCCATTTGTTAGCCCACTGGCTGAGGATTGCTCACACTACCCCCAAAAGCTTTTTCACCCCTGCAGTTGTACCTGTGGCCCCACGCAGTGGCTGAATCAGGCTTGCAGTATTTTCAACAGTTGCAGAACCAGATTCATCACACACTCTCGCTTAGAGATCTTCAAGTTCAATTTTAGGTACCTAGTTAGCACATTCTAGTTAACCGACTGATACCTAGTTCTTTGTTATTGTATGTTTAGCTTTCTCCATTTCATAAATCTGATATGATTTCTCTTCCTACTAGACATGGACACAGAAGTATTAATATGTTAGAATTTTTTCATTCTCCTTACTTACATATTTTTTACAATAAATGGGAAAATGCCCAGTATTTTGCAACTTGTATTTTTCACTTAATGTTTCATGACAGTATTTCCAAGTCAATATATATATATAATTCTAACGAATTTTCTCAATAGCTGCATAATATTCTATTATATGGACAGACTGTAATTCAACCATTCTGTGAATGGATGTACAATTCAAGTCTTAATTTTTTGCTATTACAAAAAAAATGCTTCAATAAACAGTCTTGTTCATATATCCTCTATACTGATACATTTTTTTCTATTAAAAAATTACTGACAATGGGATTGGTATGTTGAAGAATGAGATATTTATATTTGTGTGACACCACATATACTGAATGAACTTGTCATACTCCTCAGTTTATGACACTGTATCATGGATTCCCCTCTAGAGCCTCTAGAAAGAACACAGGCTGCAACACCTTGATTTATTCCATGAGACCCATTTCAGACTTGTGACCTCCAGAACTACAAGATAATAGATCTGGTTGTTCTAAGCTGCTAAGTTTGTGGTAATATATTACAGCAACAATAGGAAACTAATACACTGTTCTTATTAAGTTTAGATTAATGTTATATATTATCTCACAAAGTTCAGTAGCTTCCTATTCACCTAAGCCCACTACTTAAAATTTTTTTCTGAGTCAACCTGATAAGATAGATGTTACTAGACTGTTGTCCAAAGCGTGAAATTCATGTTTCTCCAACAGTGTATGAAACATTTCCACTAATTCCCAATAGTAAAGGACACTATTGATTCTTTTAATGTTTAATGTTTCACTCATCACATGAGTGAAAAGTGAGATCCTATTGTTGTTTAATTTGCATTTCACTGACTAGCAATGAATCAAAACACTTGATTTGTTGGTTATTTGGATTTATGATGTTTTATGAATGTTTCCTAATTTATTATTTTTTCACTTATTTATGCTATTTTCTTGCTACAAAGTATTTTTTTATTTTTATATGTTTACATTTTCTGCTGCTGTTTTGGGGTTTCTAGGCTTGTTTAAAGTCCTTCATGCCCTTCGATGGCTCATGTAAATGCCTACATTTTCTTACAAGATTTTATCATTTACAATTTTGCCTTTAATCCAACCAGAATTTATTTTTAAATATAAAATACAGAATTCATTCTAGTCTTTTCCCAATTGCACCAACAGTATTTATTAAGTAATTCAGCCTTTCCTCAGTGAATGAATTATCACTTTGCTATGCATTAAATTTTCATTTATACTGTATCTATTTTTAAATTTTGTTCCTTCACTGGTACAATTTGGATTTAATTTTATATTAGCTTTATGCTGTATTCCAATATTGAATAGGCAAGTTTTCCCACACTGTTGTTCTTTCTCTCTCTTTTAATGCTTTTCTTGGCTTTTTCCTTATATTATTCTTCCATGCAAATTCTAGGATCCAGTTAAAAGAAAAAAATTTGTATTGAATTAAATTTACAAAATAATTTTAGGAAATTCAACACTTGACAATACATTATTTATTGAGGAAATCTTTTCATTTGTTTCATTATGTCTATTTTTAAAAATTGCCTTGCTAAATTTGACTTACTAGCATTTTATTTAAAATTTTTGAACCTATAAAATGAAATTCCTTTATTCTGTGTTTTTGTTTTTGTAGGACTACGCTGGATTTGTAAAACTATTGTGAAGAATTTCATGTTTTATGTATTCCAGAATAGTTTGATAAGCCTAGGAATTATCTGTCATTTGAAGGTTAGAAGGAATTTAGCTGTAACATTGGGGCACCTGGGTGGCTCAATGGTTGAGCATTTGCCATTGGCTCAGGCCATAATCCCAGGGTCCTAGGATTGAGTCTGGCATCTGGCTCCTGGCAGGGAGCCTGCTTCTCCCTCTGCCTATGTCTCTGCCTCTCTGTGTGTCTCATGAATAAATAAATAAAATCTTAAAAAAAATAATTGTCCAGACTTATTGCTTTTTTCATTATTTGAAAACAATTTTATTATGAAAATTTTCAAATATTACAAAAATAGAGAAAATAGTATAATGAATCCTATGTACCTACGACTTAGCTTTGACAATTAATTTTTCATTCTTGTTTCTTCTATCTTTCCACTTTTGTTTTGCTAGAATATTTTAAAGCAAATCTCAGATTTCATAACATAAGTAGCTCACTGTGTATCTCTAACAGATAAGGTTCATTTTTTTAAAACAGCCATGTTATAAAAAAAAAAATAAAAAAAACAATAAATAAATAAATAAGCAGCCATGTTATCATACCTAAAAAAAAAAAAAAATTCCTGGGCAGCTCCGGTGGCTCAACAGTTTGGCGCCACCCTCAGCCCGGGCGTGATCCTGGAGACCAGGGATCGAGTCCCACATCCGGCTCCCTGCAGGAGCCTGCTTCTCCCTCTGCCTGTATACACTCTAACTCTCTCTGTTTCTCATGAGTAAATAAATAAAATCTTTAAAAAAAAATCCTGATTGTTTAAAAAATATCCTTTAGGGGCACCTGGTTGGCTCAGTCGGTTAAGTGTCTGCCTTCAGCTCAGGCCATGATCCCAGGTCCTGGGATTGAGCTCCATGGCAAGCTCCCTGCTCAGCGGAGAGTCTGCTTCTCCCTCTCCCTCTGCCTCTTCCCCTGCTCATTCTCTCTCTTTCTCTCCCTCCCTCTGTCTCTCTCTCTCCCTCTCTCTTGTGCACATACACACTCAAATAAATAAAATCTTAAAAAATATTATTTTACTTTTGGTTTGAAAGTAAAACCATTTGAATCAGAATCCAAACGACATCTAGTGCGTTGCATTTCTTTTGTTCTGTCTCTTAATTCTCTCTTAATTTATAAAGGTTCTCTCTTATCTTCTCCCATCCTGCCTTCCCCATGCCATTTATTTGTTGAAAAATCAGGTTGTTTGTCCTACAGTATATTCTAGATTTGTATTTGGTTGTTTCCTTGTAGTTTTACTTAACTTGTTCCCCTTTTCTTTCTTTTTAAATTGTTTTTTATAGACTGAAAGTTATAAAAGTTATAACTGAAAGTTAGACAAAGTCTTGATTATGTCTAAGTGAAATTATCTTGGGGGTGCCTGGGTGGCTCAGTTGGTGAAGCATCTGACTCTTGGTTTTGGCTCAGGTCGTGATCTCCAGGTTGTGGGAAAGTTAGACTGTATATTGAGTATCAATTCTTGACTTTTTACTCTTCACAAACCCTCATATCTAAAAAAAAGTGATCAGGTTGTCTGGCTGGCTCAGTCGGAAGAGCATGTGGCTCTTGATCTCTCTCAGTGTAGTGAATTCAAGTCCCCTGCTGGGTGTAGAAATTACTTAAGTAAATAAAGTTTAAAATAAATAAATAAACAAACAAAATTGAAAAGAGTGATCAAGTTCTATCAGTTCTACCTATCTAATAATTCACAAATCTAACCACTTCTCTTCATTTTTCTCTCTCACTTCTCAGTAAAGCCTCCATTTTCTAGATCCTCCCAATGCATCCCTACATTCAGTCTTTCTCTCATCTCGTCCATCTTCTACACTGCAGCCAGAGAGACTTTTTTAAAGTACCAATTTGATAATATTACTTCTTTACTTAAATCTTTTCAAAGGATTTGTCAAGACTGATACCTGACTCATACATATCAGTTATGTCATTATCCTCGGGTCAAACAACATAAGATTCCCATTTACAACTACTTCATATGATTGTATTAGGTTCCCAGGCTGCCATAAAAATTACTCCAACTTTAGTAGCATAAAACAACAGAGATTCATGTTTTCACAGTTCTGGAGGCTAGAGATCCAAAATCAAGATGTTTAGCAGGGCCATGTTCCCTCTGAAATCTCTAGGAAAAATTCTTCCTTGCTTTTTTTCTAGAATCTAGTGACTCCAGGCTATCTGTGGCATTCTTTGACTTGAACTGCA